ACAAGACCTGATGATCAGGGACTTCTCGAATGTCGCTGACATCCTACAAGAAATAACCATAACCTTAATTTCAGCAAAATTAAAGCCACACACACAGTGTCTTCGAATGGTTTATCCAGAGAAAACAAGAATAAGGAAAATGCAAAACAAAACAAAAATGAATGACCTGGAACCTGTTGGGGAACGTGCAAGATATTTTGCCACCAAACAAAGGGTGTTGGTAAGTTATATCTTGTGGCATTTTTGCACCAATGAAAAGAACAGGGGACAGCACCTCCACCACCACCACCCTACTTTACATCAAAAGCGGAAAATTACAACCCCGTTCAAGCAATTCACGTGAACCAAGTTAACGGAACCCAAAAATCAACTATATATTACAATTACTCATTTAGGGAACGATAAGTCGATAATTAACCCCAAATGAATGAACAAAGCTAAACACTGTAGTGATTACAAAAAAGATACAGTTGAGATAAAAAAAAAGCATAAGAGAAGTAAGAATACCTGGGAGGAATCGAACTACGTGAGAATAAGCAGCAGCAGACGCAGATGCTCTAGTTTGTTCTTCTGGCACTGCTACCTAGTGTAGGTATATGCAGTCCGGCCCATTTTGGCCCACCTTATAAATGGGCTGACCCGGCCCACGAGAAATGAAGCTGTAAACGTTGAACCCGATCCGGCCCACTAAGGTTTGGTGGGCTTTTAATTCACATAAACCCACTATGGGTCAGAGAATCAACTCAATAAGCTTCCATGAATGAGAATGTCGCGGGGCGGAGGCCGAAGCTCGCTGTTTCGGGCGTCGTCGACGCCCGTTGCGTCTTCGCCGGACTATGCGCCGGCGTGAGGCAGTGTGCTGCGGCTTGCAGAGTGAGTTAGTGTTGTTGAGAGAATGTGAGAGTTAGATCAGCGAATTCGGAGAGAGCGAGTTAGAGAGGGGTGGATGAGCGTGTTTGGGTTGGGCTGCGCTTGGTGGACCTAAGGGAATGGGTTACTGCTATCCTTTTCTTCCTGCACCCCTTAAAATCATATATTCCAACTTTACCCTCTTCCTCTCCCTCATCGTTCTCCCGCACCAGGACGAGTACACACCCCCAACATTTTTTCTTCACCTTCATACGCGGCCATCGTCTTCTTCCTCGCCGTTGAACGGCACTCACACCAACAGTCGCGCAAAGAGCCGAAAAAAATCAGAATGGTGGAAACCAAAGAGCTCTTTCTGGCTTCATCCCCAAACAAATATCACGAATCCTAAGTTATGGCACGTGAATGAATGATCTAAATGGAATGGAATGCATTTTTTTTAAATATTCCCCAACGAATATTTTTGGAAGTTATTTTTCAATTAAAAATACCTTTTAAAACATTTATTTTAGAATGTGTTTAAAATTATATTATTGAATAACTTTGGAAATATTTGTTTATTTCGAGATATAATTTTAAACACATTTCAAGTGGAGTTTTTCGAAAAATGTTTTCAAATTCAAAAATAGCTTTCAAAATAGTTTTTTTTTAATCTTTTTATATTTGCTGAAATACTATTTTTAAAGATATTTCGGAATCTATTTTTCCTATAGTCATTTTAGAATATTAAAAAAATTAAAATAACACTTGTGGGTGTTATTTTTTAATTTAAAAATATATTTTAAACAATCATTTTAGAATATTAAAAAAGTTTCTAAAACAAATATTTCAAGAATATATTGTTTTATACATTATAAATTGAATATTTCGAAAGACATTTTTTGAATGTGGTTAAAAATAAAGAAGAGTAAAGAACTTTATTATAATTTTAATAAGGAATAGAGTTAATATT